TGCACTGCTGTCACTGCGTACCCTTCCCCTACTGCTTGCACTGCGCCACTGTCGTCGTCATGGCTACACCCAATGTCCTCACTTTTGACGCTGAGGGTCGAGCCATTGACTTTGAGGTCTGGCTCAACGACCTGCACCTGTTTTTACAGTGCGACAGGGCCGACAGTCTGTCTCTCTTTGACCTCACCTCTGGCGCCGTCCCTGCCCCTGCTGCTGATGCTGACGCCACTGTTCGCTCTCAGTGGGCCACGCGCGATGCTGCTGCACGTCTTGCTGTGCGTTGCCACCTACCTACCGCTGAACGCGCGCACTTTAGTCAGTACAAGAGTGCTCAGACCTTGTACGACGCTGTAGTTGCACGCTACTCCTCCCCTGCCACTGCTGCACTGAGCCGCCTCATGCTCCCCTTCCTCTTCCCTGACCTTGCCGCCTTTCCCACTGTCGCTGATCTCATCACGCACCTCCGCACTAGTGACACTCGCTACCGCGCTGCACTTCCTGCTGACTTCTGCGCCAAGAACCCCCCCCCCCATGTACATCACTCTCTACTTCCTAGTCACTCGCCTCCCTGACTCCCTTCGTGTAGTCTAGAACCACTTCCTTGCGGTCTGTCCCACCACCCTCACCGTCGACAGCCTCGAGAAGGCCCTTCTTGCAGCAGAGAAGAGCATAGTTGCTGTAGGAGCCTCTCGAGGTGACCCCCGCGCCCCCATCTTTGAGGGGTGTTCTCCTTCCCCTCTCCTGCCCTCTGTTGCCTCTGCTGCTGCGGCCGACCTCGTTGGTCTTGAGTCGGTCGGTGCGGCGTCTGCCCCTAGCGGGAGACGCCGCTCTGGCAAGGGCAAGGGGGGCAAGGGAGCGGGTGGGGCCAGTGGGGGCGGTGGCGGTGGGGGTGGAGGCGGCGGAGGGAGTGGGGGTGGCGGTGGAGGTGGTAGTGGGGGTGGGGGTGCTAGTGGCAGCGGTGGCGGCGGGAGTGGCGGCGGCGGTGGGGGTGGTAGCGGAGGTGGCTGAGGTGGCGGCGGTGGAGGCGGGGGCGGGGGCGGTGGAGGAGGAGGCGGGGGTGGCGGAGGTGGAGGTGGTCGGAGTGGGGCTTCGCAGCGGAGCGGCATTGGTGGCGGTCAGCGCCAACAGCAGCAGCAGCAGCAGCACCGTTCTCGCGACGTCCTCACCCTCCAGCAGCTCCGTGAGTGGTACACGCAGTGTCAGCGCGGTGGGGGTTTTGGTCCCTGCACCTACGTTCTCCGCACTGGCGACCGCACTGGAGAGCAGTGTGGGGGTGCCCACCCCGCTCAGCGCTGCTTTGGCCGCCTAACAGACGCTTGGCGTCAGCGGTTCCCGGAGGCCGCGGAGATCCCCCGCTGGGGAGAGCTGTCTAGGGCTGGTTTAGCTATCTTTGATCTTGACTTTGATGCTATCCTTGCTGCCATGTATGCTGTGACCACTAGTGAGGAGGGTGACTGTTACCGGTGTTTCCCGCCAGACCCGGGCATTGGTACTGCTGCTCCTGTTACCGGTGAGGCTTCTGCTCTCTCAGGTACTAGTGCGTCTGCGCTCTCAGGTACTGCGTCGGCTTCGGCCTCCCACACCTTCACTCTTGACTCTGGAGCGTCTCGCTCTTTCTTTCGGGACCGCACCACACTTACGCCGCTTAGTCGGCCGGTTGCGGTTTCCCTGGCTGACCCCTCTGGGGGTCCTGTCCTCGCTCGCTTCTCCACGGTCCTCCCGTGTCCAGCGGCTCCCTCTGGCACCCTGTCTGGTCTCTACCTCCCCTCGTTCTCTACGAACTTGGTGAGTGGTGCTGACCTACAGGATGGGGGAGTTCACCAGTTCACCCCTGCTAGTCAGCGAGTGACGCACTGCACGGAGGCTAGCACGGGTCGTCACCTGGCTACGTTTACACGTCAGCCAGGGTCGAGCCTGTACACACTGACCACTGCTTCTCCTCCAGGTGCTGAGTCTGGTAGCGTGCCTTCGTCTGGTCAGGTGTTTGCTGCAGCGTCCAGGTCTGGTCCTGAGTCTGCCCCCTGTTCGTGTCGCCGTCTGTCTCACGAGACCCTCCTCTGGCACCACCGTCTTGGCCACCCCTCTCTGCTTTGGCTCAGAGGCATGGCCTCCCGTCTCCTTGTGTCTGGTCTCCCCTGGTCTCTACCTCCCCTTCCTCAGGGCCCTGGCCCTGCCTGTGTCCCCTGTGTCGAGGGGCGCCAGCGTGCTGCCCCTCACTCCTCCCAGTTTCCTCCGACAGAGGCTCCGTTGCAGACGCTTCACATGGACGTGTGGGGCCCTGCCCGCGTCCGTGGACTCGGTCACGAGCGCTACTTCCTGCTGGTGGTTGACGACTACTCGCGTTACACCACAGTCTTCCCCTTGCGCAGCAAGGGTGATGTCACTGAGGTGCTGATCGACTGGATCCGCGCAGCTCGTCTCCAGCTCAGGCAGAGCTTTGGCTCGGACTTTCCTGTGTTGCGTCTGCACTCGGACAGAGGCGGAGAGTTCTCCTCTGGCCTTCTGCGTGCCTACTGTCGTGCGCGAGGCATCCGCCAGACCTTCACGCTTCCGGACTCCCCGCAGCAGAATGGGATTGCAGAGCGCCGCATTGGCATGGTCATGGACGTCGCTCGTACGTCCATGATGCATGCGGCTGCTCCCCATTTTGTGTGGCCGTTTGCGGTCAGGTACGCAGCGCATCAGATCAACCTCCACCCCAGGGTCTCCAGGCCGGAGACCTCCCCAGCGCTGCTGTGGACGGGGAAGGTTGGCGATGCGTCGGCGTTCCGGGTCTGGGGATCTCGGGCGTTTGTCCGCGACTTGTCTGCGGACAAGCTGTCCCCTCGCGCTGCTCCCTGCGTCTTCCTGGGGTTCCCCCCCGACGCCCCTGGGTGGCAGTTCTACCACCCCACCTCTCGACATGTTCTGTCCTCTCAGGACGTCACGTTCGACGAGTCGGTACCCTACTACCGCCTCTTCCCCTACCGCACTCCGTCCCTCCCCCCTCCCCCGCTCTTCTTGGTACCAGGTCCCCCCCCGGTAGACCCCCTTCCCCCTCAAGGTCCTGCCCCTTCAGGTGTGTCCCAGGTAGACGCGGTCGAGCCTGTCGAGGTCACTGGTGACTCTGGTGCGGCTGCAGGAGCTAAGCCTGGGGGTGCTGAGACTGGAGGTGCTACGCCTGTGGGAGCTGAGCCTGGGGGTGCGGAGTCTGGAGGTGCTGAGCCTGGGGGTGCTGTGCCTGGGGGTGCTGAGCCTGGGGGTGCTGAGCCTGGGGGTGCTGAGCCTGGGGGTGCTGTGCCTGGAGGTGCTGAGCCTGTGGGTACTGTGCGTGGGGGTGCTGAGCCTGGGGGTGCTGAGCCTGGGGGTACTGAGACTGGGGGTGCTCCGCCTGGAGGTGCTTCGTCTCGCCGTGAGCCACTCTCCCCTCAGGAGCTACGTGAGTGGTTTGCCAGACGCTGGAGGCGTGCTGCTGGTGCTGGAGGTTCTTCGGCTGCAGAGGGTACTACTGTTGAGCGTCCCGGTGGTGCTCGTACTGTGGGTACTGGAGCTGCTGGGTCTGAGGGTTCTCCTGGAGCTGGTGCTGCTGAGGGTGTTGACGCTGAGACTGCCGCTGGAGGTCCGACTGGCGGTGCTCCTGCTGGTGCTGCTGGAGGTTCGGGAGCTACTGGAGGTGCTGCTGGAGCGGGTACTCCTGCTAGGGGTACTGGTGCTGTCCCTGCTGTTTCTGGCGTCGCCGCGCGGCCCCGGCCGTACTTCGTTCCGCTCCTGCAGCAGGTTCTTGGTCTTCCACCTTCTCCTGGTCCTCCTCCTCCTCCCTTAGAGGGTCCGCAGCCTTTCTCGTCACAGTCACAGCTACAGCATGCCTCCCCTTTGCCTGCTCCTTCTCCCTACGCTGGTCCGACTGGAGGTCTTACTGAGCGTCGTGAGCCTGCGTCTCGTCCTGCGTCGCCTGAAACACGTGGTTACAGTCCAGCATATACATATTTTATGTACCAATCTCTGAATGTGATAATCTAATTAACATTGTTACACTCATATCATTTATACTTCACGGGCTAAATTATCTTCGCAAGTTTCGCATACATGTAACTCACCGTTCATAGCACACTCAATAAGTACATTGAAATAAATAATGGCCACTATTAAAGAACCAGCATCAAATTGAAATCCATTCCCGATCTACATGCCACTTGTACATGTGCCTGAATGTCTCATTAACAGGTCACCCATACGATGTCTTCGTCCCACATTGTCGAAGCCCCAAAACCTCGGAACCTCCAATCAAACGATTGGTTCTCTAGCGTCTGGGGCAATTCCCAACCTCAGCCAAGCCGGAGGCTCGCCTCCCGTGTCTCAGTGATTGGTTGGTGTCAACCAACATTCCGATGAAATACCTGGCAACACGCAAATGAGCCGCCCGAAAACTGGGATGTCGAAACCTACTGGCCAACTGGACAGGTTTGCGAGGCGTCAACGATTGGTTTTACCCCTCCAGTTGTCAACGACTGGCTTTCGGTTGGAAAACCAGAAACCCAAGTTTCGCGATGCCGCATCACTGCAGCTGCTTGCGAGTCGCAGCGGCTGTCGCGCTCGTCGTGCTCCTCACCGTTCCGCTCAACATGGACCACTTCAGGGTGAGATTTCATTGGTGCTAAAAAAAATTGCAGGCTGCAGCCGTTTTCTGCAGCTATTTGTACCATACAGTGTGCTTTTTCGCGCGCTTCATGCTCCTCACCGTTCCGCTCAACATGGACCCACTTCAGGGTGAGAGATTCTCACCTGCCAGTGAGTGCACGAAGCGCGTTCAACCGTCGTCGTTTCCGCGGCTCACCGCCGTGGATGCCGCTTTTGTTTGCTCGTCGTCCTTACGGCCTCACTTATCCGATGAGTCTTAATGCACTTTTGGTTGAAGTGTAACCCTTTCCGGTGAGGATGGAGGATGAAGCACTTTGGATGGCAATTCCGATTACGGAAAGCACTTTCGGGTGAAACTGAAGCGTTTTTGGGTGAAGCAACTTATGAAGCTCATGATAAGTGTATTTCATTCCTCTTCTTTCCCCCCGCCAGCAGACAACATCGCCAGATTCCCTGGGTCTTCTCTCCTCACCAACAGCTAGAGCTGCTTATGAGGCTTCTGAAACGTTGTGTATTTTCCTCTCTCCTCTCCACCCTGACCTCGTCAACCAGACATCATCACCAGAGTCTCTGAGTGTTCTCTCCTCATCCACACTTTATTTTTTTTTGTTTTTTCAATAATATTTCAGAATATAACATTTTCCTCTCTACTACCCTCCTCCCTCTCCCCTCGTCCACCAGACATCATCACCAGAGTCTCTGGGTGTTCTCTCCTCACCAGCAGCTAGAGCTGCTCTCATCGCGTCTCTCACATCCGCCTCCTCCGCTTCTTCCTCCACCTCCACCTCCTCATCGCCCTCATCCTTCTCCTCTCTCTTCTCCACTTCACTCCAATCTCACCCCTCCGCTTCCGCCTCCAAATCTCCCTAATTCCCCTCGTGGTCCACGCTTCGCAAGCATGCGAGTCAGCTGCTGTCTCTGGATGATTCCACGCAACAACTGGTGAGTAATGAGCCATCGCTGCTGCTGGAAAAATTTCGTTCCACCTCTCATCATCTCCCCAATCCCTCTCGTGGTGCTCCTCTCTATAAGCATGCGAGTCAGTTGCTGTCTCTGGATGATTCCACACAACAACTGGTGAGTAAAGAGCCACCGCTGCTCCATTGTAATGAGTCGCATTTTGAGTCGACTCAAAACTCGATTGGTGAGTAAAGAGCCACCACTGCTCCATTGTGTATTCTATGTTTCCTTCCACTTCGCATCATTCCCCCATCCCTCTCGTGGGCCTCGCTTTCCAACCGCGCCATGTAGCTGCTCTCTCGGGCTGGTTCCAGTCAACGAGTGGAGGAGAGTAGGGAGCTGGTGCTGCTGCAATAACCAAGTTACCGCCGCTGCATTGTGCCGTACGTTACTTCTTCATCTCCCTCATAGCCCTCCTGCTCCTTCACTGCAGTGCAGTCTGCCTCACATTGTGCTACTCTCTTTGCTCCCTCCCTCCCTCCCTCCCTCCCTCCCTCCCTCTTCCCGCACTCAGCAGCAACAAGCCTCCGAGCCATCTACAATCCAAGCGCCCACCCCCTACACCGGCTGCACTGCTGTCTGCCTCACTGGTTCGGCGCGTGACTTTGAGCTCACCGGGCCTAGCATCGTGGCTCGGCTGCTGCCGAGCCTGCGTCCGCACCGCCCTGTCCTGTTCCTCGTAGCTCCCCTGGACGAGCACAGCCACAAGCTGTGGGCGCTGCAATGGGGGCTGGGCATGGGGAGAGATGGGGGGTCTGGGGGATTTGGGGGACAGGGCGGATCAGGAGAACAGGGAGAGGGACTAGCGGGAGGGTTAGGGCGGAACCTAAAAGAGCGGGTCGATGTGGAGAGCGCATGGGAAGGGGGGGTGGAGTTGGGTGCGGTGCAGATGGGTGGGAGCGTGTGGGTGGACGTTGATGAGGTGGTGGGAGACAGCAAGCTCTACGACAACGCAACAGCTCGGAGCATGCAGGTGCAGTTATTCTAATGTCTAGCCGCTGTTGCGAGCTTTCATGGTCCTCTTTTGAGACGTCCCAAAAGTCAGGTTCGTCCATTTTCTCAACTATAGTCGCTGTTGTGAAATTTTATGGTCCCCGCCACCCCTCCACCTCCTCATCCACCTCCTCTCATCCACCCCCTCCCTCCCTTTGTTCTCCCTCTCCCCTGCTCCTCTCGTGCAGCCTCATCTGCAGTGCTTACAGCTTCTCTCGTCCTGTCTCTCTTTAATCGACAACCACCAGCGCCACCACCCCTCCTTGCCCCCTTCCACCACCTCATCCACTCCCTCCCTTCTTTCCCCCCTTCCCGTGCTCCCCTTGTGCAGCCTCAACTGCAGTACTTACAGCTTCTCTCGTCCTGCCTCTCCGTAATCGACAACTATCAACACCACCATCCCTCCTCGCCACCCTTCCACCGTCTCATCCACTCCCGCCTCGACTCCTACTGGTCCGCCCCACCCTCTTTCTCCTCCGCCTTCTCCTCTCCAGTCCCTAACACCACCGCATCTTCCTTCGATGCTCCTGGTGCTGCTGGTAGCGCTGGTGATGCCACTGCCGCAAGAGGTGGGGCAGCAGAAAGGAGGGGTTCTGCAGAACTAGCAAAGGGAGGAAAGAGGAAAAATCAACAGCAGAGACAGATACAGGGGAGCAGGAGCAGGAGGAAGAGGAGGAGTGGGTGGTGCCATTTGGTTCGGACTACAGTGGGATCAACGACGCCTTTGGAATGGGCTCTCTGGAAGCTGCCCGGAAGGTTCTGTCCCGCCTCTCCTCGCTTCAAGAGCTCGTGAAGGCAGGCCTCAGGTGTGTGTGGGTGGGTGGGTGGGTGGGTGGGTGAGTGGGTGAGTGGGTGGGTGGGTGGGTGGGTGAGTGGGTGGGTGGGTGGGTGGGTGGGTGGGTGGGTGGGTGGGTGGGAGGGAGTGCGGATGTCTGACACATGAGGGATGAGTTGATTTTTGAGTCGACCCAAAAATCGACTTATCACACAAAGCAGGCCTCAGGTGCGGGTGGGAGTGCGGATGTCTAACACATGAGGGGTGAACACAATGTCTCAGGCTGTTGGGGGTTCGCAATGTGAACCTCGAAAAGGTGCGAGAGGGTTCCCTTACCTTTCCATTCCCCCTCACACTCAAAAGCCCACTCAAGCCTCAAATAGAGCCCATGCCGTCCTTCTCTCCACACACAAAAAGCCCCCTTTCTCCTTCATTCTCCCCCTTTTCTTTCCTTCTCTCGCCTTCTCGCCCTTTCTCCTTCCTCCCCACCCCCTTCTCCCCTTTCTCGCCTGCTCCCTTCATTCCACCCCCACAGCAACCTCTCCCCAAAGGCAACCCTCCAGGCCTGTATAGAATCCACAGGCATCCACGTGGCACGAGCTGATTGGCCGCTGTGCACCGTGAGCCACCAGACGTTCAAGCACGGGCGGCAAGGGGGAGGTGCTGGTGGCCTCGTTACAGTCACGCGCGAACCTGAACGGAGCGAAATGCTGGCCTTGCACGCCCAAATACACTGGCCTAGAGGTGAGTTTATCGCTACTGACTAAACCACATATAGCTGGTGGCCTCATTACAGTCACGCGCGAACCTGAATGGAGCGAAATGCTGGCCCTGCACGCCCAAATACACCGGCCTAGAGGTAAGTCTATCATTACCGAACCACACATAGCTGGTGGCTTCGTTACAGTCACGAGCGAACCTGAATGGCGCCAAGTGTTGGCCCTGCACACCCAAATACACTGGCCTGGAGAATACAATGACTAGTATTGCAGGTCAAATGTCTGTCTGGTGGCCTCATTACAGTCACATGCGAATCTGAATAGGGCAAGATTTTGTCCCTCACGCCCAAATACAGTGGTGGGTGGTGATTGAGGCGCTTGAACTAATCTTCACTTTCCGTCCCTCCCCTTCTTTCCTCACAGGCCCTCTCCCACATGGCCTTTGTGCCTGCTTCCAACCGGATCCGCTCCCCTTCAGCCAGACCACTCAACACCAGCACTGAGAGCATCTACCTGTGTGATACCTCCCACCCCTGGGAGATCATTTTTAAGTCAACTTTTGAGTTGACTTTTGAGTCGACTCAAAAGTCACCTCGCTCCCCTTCAGCCAGCCCACTCAACACTAGCACTGAGAGCACCTGCCTGTGTGATACCTCCCACCCCTGGGAGATCGCGTGGAGTCACAAACTACGACGTTGCAGCTGTGCTCATTCATCCTTCCCTTCCCCACTTGCAGGCGCTTTCACATATTGCTTGGGCGCCTGCTTCCAACAGGATCCGCTCCCCCTCAGTTGATCCTGTCAACTCGGGTAGCAATAGCATACAGCTCTGCCACACCTCCCACCCCTGGGAGCTCGCCTGGACTCACAATCACCCTTGCTCCTCTCTCTGCCTTGACACTACTCATTTCATTCCCAATCCCCTCATGCAGGCCCTCTCCCACATGGCCTTCGTGCCTGTCTCCAACCAGATCCGCTCCCCCTAAGCCAGCCCACTCAGCACCGGCACCGAGAGCATCGAGCATTGACACTGACTCACATCCACCATGCTTGCTGCTCCCTCCCCTCCGCCAAACAGGCCCTCTCCCACATGGCCTTCGTTCCTGTCTCCAACCAGATCCGCTCCCCCTCAGCTGATCCTGTCAACGCTGGCAGCAATAGCATACAGCTCTGCGATGCCTCCCACCCCTGGGAGCTTGCCTGGACCGATAACTACGATGCTGCTGCTGGCTCGCGATTGGCTGGGATGAGAAGGGCTATCTCGTCCACCAATCTGAAGCAATACGTGCAGCTGATGGCACAGGTGAGGGATTCTTAATCGACTAAAACAAGGGCGATTGGGGAAGCGAGGTTGGTGTGGGGTGATTTTGGTATGTGGTGAATTGACTGGGTGGGTCAACTGTATGTGGGACTGTCTTCTGGCATAATTCTCAGCGAGCAGCACATCAGGTATGGGCTAAAAGGAATAGAAAAACAGGGTGTGTTGATTGTGGTAGAGTCTCTTCTATCGCCTGTGGTAGATGGACAGGGTGGGTTGATTGTGTGTGAGGTTGATCTTCAGAATTCTCAAAATCTGACTCAAATGTATTTCACAGGTCTCTTGGTTCCAACTTCCCTCTCTTCTTTCCCTCCTCTCACCCTCTGCCACTCCATTCTCCCCTCTACCTGCTCCCTTCTCCCTTCTCCATTCGCCCTCGCTTTCTCTCCACGCCCCCGCTCCTTTCTCCCCTCATCCTCTTGCCCCTTCCAACCCCCCGCTGTCAGCTCCAGCGTCAATCCGCCAACTGGAGCGCCCCCCCCCCTGCTGCTATCTGTGTGCGATCGCTCCTCGGCAAGATATCCATTGTTTGCTCTTCGTGGGTTAGGCTTTCAAGCCTCTCATCCCCTTTCCCTTCTACCTTCCCACTCCCTCCCTCCCCAAACCAGCTCCAGCACCAGACACTCAACTGGAGCGCCCCTCCCCCTTCCGCCATCTGTGTGTGATCACTACTTGGCACGCCAAGGTTGCGCTTCCCAACCTCCTCCCCTTCCTCCTTCCTTTTTCTTCCTTCTCCTCCCTCCCCTCCCTTCTTCCATCCTTCAGCTTCAGCACCAGACACTTAATTGGAGCGCCCCTCCCACTTCCGCCATCTCTGTGCGATCACTCCTTCGGAAAATCTCCCTTGTTGGCTCCTATAGCATGTCCTTCCCCACATCTACCTCCCTTTCCCTTCTCCTCCCTACCCAAACCAGCTTCAGCAGCAAACTAGCAACTGGAGCGCCCCTCCCTCTGCGGCCATCTGTGTGCGATCGCTCTCGGGAAAAATCTCCCATATTAGCTCATCCTGCTTCCCTGCTCCCTTCCCATCCTTCACCCCTTTTCTCCCCTTACCAGCTGCAGCAGCAGACAGCCAACTGGAGCGCCCCTCCCTCTGCGGCCATCTGTGTGCGATCGCTCTTGGGAAAAATCTCCTACGTTGGCTCCTACGGAATGTCCTTTCCCACGGCCCTCGCTGTTATCACTCCTAACAGGTAATTTTGACCACCCTTTTGATGAAGCCACCTTTTTGTATAACCCTTTTGAACTCGGCAAGGTATCACCATTGTATGGCTCCCGCCAACCTCGCTGTTCTTACTCTCCCAGTAGTTTCGTGTAGCCCTATCCAAGGTCTCTTAATCCATTTCTAATGCTCGCTGACTTGCTGGCTGCATGTACATTATTCAGCTTGATTTTTCAGCTAGAACTTTCATTCAACTCGAGTTTTCCCCACAATTCCCCACCCCATCTCTCCACTCCGCACCCCTCTATCCATATCTCTGCAGCGTGATCCTTTCCACCTCCCCCATGACCCAACCCCCCTTCGTGCGGGGTGGTGGTGGGAGTCGACTCAAAAGTATTCCTCATTTCTGCATATCCCTCATCCCATCTTTCTACCCCACACACCCTCTGTCCATATCTCTCCAGCGTGGTCCTTTCCACCTCCCCCAGGACACCCCTCCCCTGGACTGCGGGGTGGTGGGAGTCGCACCTCCCCTCACTCCTCCCAGGCCTCTCAGTGCATCCCCATCCCTCCTCACCCCCCTGTCCATACCTCTACAGCGTGGTGTATTCCACCTCCCCCAGGACGCCCCTCCCCTGGACTGCGGGGTGGTGGGAGTCACACCTCCCCTCGCTCCTGCCAGGCCTCTCGGTGCATGCGCTGCCGTCAACCCCCCTCGACTCCACCACTGCCACTCCTGCTCACGTCATCAAGGTGAGTTGTGAGTCAACTCATACAACCCACGTGTGGGTGGTTTATCTCATGTACCCAGTCCAGTTACCCATGCCCCTCATGTGCAACAGTGCAAGTCATCCTCTTCAATATTCCCAAATGGTTTTCTAAAAACTCGTGCACCCAATCCCCCCCCTCGTCCCGCTCTTTCTTCCCTCCTTTTGCAACCGTTTTCTCCACCCGACCTTGCCTTTTTAAAATGAATCAGTTTGCATTGGACGGCTCTGACCTCCCAGCACTCTCCAAGCAACTAAAGGACAAATCTCTGCCACCCGCATGCCAGTTACTCGTGGCATTTCCCAAGCCGCTCACCCAGAAATGGCGTGCAAAGATTATTGGGCAGCTTGAGAGTAAAAATATTTTCTTGGCAGCGTGTTTGAGAGAGCCTGGGATAGATGTACCGTATGGCCCCGGATAAAAGCGCATATGCGCTTATAATAAGTTATTTTTTTTCAAGGGTGGCGCTTGTAATTGAGGAACGGCCATAAGCGCAGGCGCTGATATAATGACTGTCAGAGTATTATAGCTGATGCATGTTTGTAGGCTATAGTGGGGTAGCACATATGGGGTACAGCTTTCTAGGGTTGTATTTGTACCCAACTCTGACTTAGTCATTTTCATTCCTGTTCACTTGTTTCACATGGTATAGAGCGGGTCCTTCCTTAGGACCGTTTTTTTAGGGCCCACCGAAGCGCGCCCCGAGGCACGCCTTTTTTTAGCGACCCCTCGGGTCGCCATTTCCCTCGCGGCCCCGCTGTCCCTCAGACGCGGCCCCGCCACCCCTCCTAATCGCGGCCCCGCCGCCTGCTTGGCGCGGCCCCGCCGCCGGCTCTGACGCGGCCCTGCCGCCCGCTTCGTCGCGGCCCCGCCGCCTGCTTGACGCGGCCCCGCCGCCTCCACTGACGCGGCCCCGCCGCCGGCTCTGACGCGGCCCTGCCGCCCGCTTCGTCGCGGCCCCGCCGCCTGCTTGACGCGGCCCCGCCGCCTCCACTGACGCGGCCCCACGGCCGGCTCCGCCGCTGCACCCTACGGCCCGCCGCTGCACCCTACGGCCCGCCGCCTCACCTGACGGCCCCGCCGCTGCACCTGCCGGCCCGCCGCTGCACCTGCCGGCCCGCCGCTGCACCCAGCGGCCCGCCGCTTCACCTGACGGCCCCGCCGCTGCACCTGCCGGCCCGCCGCTGCACCCTACGGCCCGCCGCTGCACCCTACGGCCCGCCGCCCCACCTCGTCGGCCCGCCGCTGCACCCTACGGCCCCGCCGCTGCACCTGCCGGCCCGCCGCTGCACCGGTCGACCCGCCGCTGCACCTGACGGCCCCGCCCCTGCTTCTCCCGGCCGAGCCGCCCCAGCAGCAGAGCCGCCCCAGCAGCCGAACCGCCCGGGAGCCGAGCCGCCCAACGCCGAGCCGCCCGGGACCCGAGCCGCCCTGCCGCCGAGCCGCTCGGGAGCCGAGCCGCCCTGCACCCGAGCCGCCCTGCCGCCGAGCCGCCCGGGAGCCGAGCCGCCCTGCGCCCGAGCCGCCCAGCCGCCGAGCAGCCCGGGAGCCGAGCCGCTGTGCACCCGAGCCGCCCGGTCGCTGAGCCGCCTTTCTGCAGAGCTGCACGACCTGCCCTGCCTGGTGAGCACAGTCCCACTGACACTGCGAGCTCTTTCCCTACTGCTTGCACTGCGTCGCTGTCGTCGCCATGGCTACCCCTAGTGTCCTAGCTTTTGACGCTGAGGGTCGCGCCATTGATTTTGAGGTCTGGTTAGACGACCTGCAGCTGTTCTTACAGTGCGACAGGGCTGACGACCTTTCTCTCTTTGACCTCACCTCTGGCGCCTCTCCTGCTCCTGCTGCTGATGCTGATCCCACTGTCCGCTCTCAGTGGGCCACCCGCGATGCTGCTGCACGTCTTGCTGTGCGTCGCCACCTCCCTACCTCTGAGCGTGCGCACTTTAGTCAGTACAAGAGTGCTCAGACCTTGTACGACGCTGTAGTTGCGCGCTACTCCTCCCCTGCCACTGCTGCACTGAGCCGTCTCATGCTTCCCTACCTCTTTCCTGACCTCTCTGCCTTTCCCACTGTTGCTGACCTCATTACGCACCTCCGCACTAGTGACACTCGCTACCGCGCCGCCCTTCCTGCTGAGTTCTGCGCTAAGAACCCACCCCCCATGTACATCGCTCTCTACTACGTAGTCGCGCGCCTCCCTGACTCCCTTCGCGTCGTCAGGGACCACTTTCTCGCAGTCTGTCCCACCACCCTCACCGTCGACCTCCTCGAGAAGGCCCTCCTCGCAGCGGAGAAGAGCATAGTCGCTATAGGTGCTTCTCGTGGTGACCCTCGCACCCCCATCTTTGAGGGGTGCTCTCCTTCCCCCTTGCTGCCCTCTGTTGCCTCTGCTGCTGCTGCCGACCTGCTTGGTCTTGAGTCGGTCGGCGCGGCGTCTACCCCTAGTGGGAGACGTCGCTCCAGCAAGGGCAAGGGGGGCAAGGGCGCGGGTGGAGCTGGAGGGGGCGGTGGCGGTGGCGGCGGTGGCGGCGGAGGGAGTGGGGGTGGCGGCGGGAATAGTGGCGGGGGTGGTGGTGGTGGTGGCAGCAGCGGCGGAGACGGTGGTGGTGGTGCCAGCGGTGGTGGTGGAGGCAACGGCGGAGGTGGAGGCGGCGGAGGTGGAGGCGGTGGAGGCGGCAGCGGAGGAGGCGGTGGTGGTGGAGGAGGTGGAGCTGGTCGAGGTGGTACCCAGCAGCGTAGCGGCGGTGGTGGTGGCCAGCGCTCGCAGCGGCAGCAGCAGCAGCGCTCGCGGGACATCCCTCCGCCTCAGCAGCTTCGTGAGTGGTACGCTGGGCGTCAGAGGGGTGGGGGTACTGGTCCCTGCACCTACGTTCTTCGTTCCGGCGACCGCGCGGGTGAGCAGTGTGGGGGTGCCCACGCCACCCAGCGCTGCTTTGGCCGCCTGACGGACGCTTGGCGTCAGCAGTTCCCTGGGGCTAGTGAGATCCCTCGCTGGGATGAGCTTCTAAGGGCTGGTGTAGCGATCTTTGATCTTGATTTTGATGCTATCCTTGCTGCTATGTATGCTGTGGATTTTAGTGAGGAGAATGAGGGTTACCGGTGTTTCCAGCCCGACCCGGGCATTGGTACTGCTGCGCTAGGTGCTTGTGAGGCTGCTGCTCTAGGTGCCAGTGCGTCTGTGCTCTCAGGTACTGGTGAGACTGCGCTCTCAGGTACTGCGTCGTCCTCGTCCTCCCTCACTTTCACACTTGACTCCGGGGCTTCTCGCTCCTTCTTTCGAGACCGCACTACCCTTACGCCGCTCGGCCGGCCGGTTGCGGTCTCCCTTGCTGACCCCTCTGGGGGTCCTGTCCTGTCTCACTTCTCCACTGTCCTCCCGTGTCTGGCTGCCCCTTCGGGCACCCTGTCTGGTCTGTACCTTCCCTCGTTCTCTACGAACTTGGTGAGTGGAGCGGACCTGCAGGATGTGGGGGTTCACCAGTTCACTCCTGCGAGTCAGCGGGTGACCCACTGCACGGAGGCACGCACAGGCCGACACCTGGCCACGTTCTCGCGTCGGCCGGGGTCGAGTCTCTACACCCTGACCGTTGAGTCTCCTCCTGTCCCTGCGTCTGGTCAGGTGGCTGCGTCGGGTCAGGTGCTTGCTGCTGCGTCCCGGTCAGGTCCTGAGTCTGCCCCCTGTTCTTGTCGCCTCCTGTCTCACGAGACTCTCCTGTGGCACCACCGTCTTGGCCACCCCTCCTTGCCCCGTCTTCGGAGCATGGCTTCCCGTGTCCTTGTCTCTGGTCTTCCCCAGTCTCTCCCTCCTCTCCCCTCCGGGCCAGGACCTTCCTGTGTCCCCTGTGTCGAGGGTCGCCTCCGGGCTACTCCTCACTCCTCCCACTTCCCCCCGACAGAGGCTCCCTTGCGACGCTTCACATGGATGTGTGGGGCCCAGCCCCCGTCCGTGGGCAGGGTTACGAGCGCTACTTCCTGTTGGTGGTTGACGACTACTCGCGTTACACCACAGTCCTCCCCTTGCGCAGCAAGGGTGCGGTAACTGAGGTGCTGATCGACTGGATCCGCGAGGCTCGTCTCCAGCTCAGGAAGAGCTTCGGCTCGGACTTTCCTGTTCTGCGTCTGCACTCGGACAGAGGCGGAGAGTTCTCTTCTCGCCTTCTGCGGGACTACTGTCGTGCACGGGGGATCCGCCAGACCTTCACGCTTCCGGACTCACCACAGCAAAATGGGATTGCTGAGCGCCGCATTGGCATGGTCATGGATGTCGCTCGTACGTCCATGATGCATGCGGCTGCCCCCCATTTTCTGTGGCCGTTTGCGGTGAGGTACGCGGCGCATCAGCTCAACCTTCACCCCCGGGTCTCTCGGCCTGCGATGTCCCCAGCCTTGCTGTGGACGGGGAAGGTTGGCGATGCGACTGTGTTCCGTGTCTGGGGATCTCGGGCGTTTGTCCGCGACTTGTCTGCAGACAAGCTGTCCCCTCGTGCTGCTCCCTGTGTCTTCCTTGGCTTCCCCACTGACACCCCAGGGTGGCAGTTTTACCACCCCTCCTCTCGTCGTGTTCTGTCCTCCCAGGACGTCACGTTCGACGAGTCAGTCCCCTTCTACCGTCTCTTCCCCTACCGCACTCCTTCCCTCCCCCCTCCCCCGGACTTCCTTGTGCCGGTTCCCCCCCCGTTAGACCCCCTCCCCCCTCAGGTTCCTGCCCCCTCAGGTGTGTCCCAGGTAGACGCCGTTGACCCGGTCGAGGTTACTGGTGACTCTGGTGCTGCTGCGGGTGCTGAGCCTGGGGGTGCTGACTCTGGGGGTGCTGTGCGCGGGGGTGCTGAGCCGGGGGGTGCTACTGCTGGGGGTGCTGGGCCTGAGGGTGCTACTGCGGAGGGTGCGGAGCCTGGGGGTGCTGAGCCGGGGGGTGCTGTGCCTGGAGGTGCTGGGTCTGGGGGTGCTGGGTCGGGAGCTGCTGAGCCTGGGGGTGCTGAGCTGGGAGCT